TCCCTCTGATCGGCTCAGGGGCCTTTGCGGAAGTCAGTCAATGAGATCCTCGATCTCAGATCTCAGCAATATCTCGGCCTGAATTTCACCAGGTCGGGCAGCGCAACGAAAAAATCAAAACGTAAACACAGGAGAGAGAGAAGGAGAGAGAGAACACAAGCAATTTTAACGTGGGAAAACCTTCTCCAATGAAGAAGTAAAAACCCACGGGACCTAATCCAGATCAAAAATTCACTATGAAAATAATGGTTACAAAGAATCAAATACACCAATGTGGTGGTTAACTTAACCTCTCCAACAATGGTTATAATCAAACTACCCTAGAGATGTTTCACTCAAACTCTAGAGATCTCTCAAATTTTTCTCTCTCATTCTCTTAACCTAGCCTCCACCCACAACTAATGAATATATAGAGGACGTGAGATCTAGGGTTAGGGTTTTTAGGAAACCCCTCAATGGGCTCTGCCTTAGCATTGAAGGAAGAAGCCCAGCAAATCTCCCCTCCGACTTCAATGCGTCGGCTTCAGCATCAACCCGGCTCCTTCACAGCAGTCTTCGAATTTCCTTGCTGGAACTGGCTTTGTCATCATGTCGGACCGATTTTGGTCAGTGTGCACCTTGACGAGTTCGAGCTCTCCACCTTCCACCACATCCCGGATCCAGTGATACCTCACATCAATATGCTTAGTGCGAGAGTGATAGGTCGAATTCTTCGCAAGATGGATTGCGCTTTGATTGTCACAACCCAGCTCGTACTTGTCTTGATCATGGCCGAGTTCCATGAGGAACTTCTTCATCCACAACATCTCTTTGCTTGCCTCAGTAGCGACAATGTACTCAGCCTCAGTTGCCGATAGTGCAACACATTTCTGAAGTCTTGATTGCCAAGAGACAGCTTCTCCGGCAAATCTCATCAAATATCATGTAGTCGACTTCCTCGAGTCAGCGTCTCCCCTTAAATCAGAATATGAGTAGCCTTGCAACTCGGCTTTGCCTTCTCCAAATCTGAGACATAAGTCGGTCGTACCTCGGAGGTACTTGAAGATCCACTTCACTGCTTCCCAGTGCTCTTTGCCGGGGTTTGACAAATACCGGCTTACCATTCCAACAGCATACGCCAAGTCAGGTCTAGTGCAAACCATTGCATACATCAAGCTTCCGAAGACGGATTGGTATGGGACCTTCATCATCTCATATTTGTCTTTATCAGATCTCAGACATTGCTTCTGGTTCAGCTTTATGTGTCCGGCAAGGGGGGTGCTCACTGTTTTGGCTTTGTCCATGCTGAATCTCTTCAGAATCTTCTCAATATATTTCTCTTGACTCAGCCACAGTAGCTTCTTCTGTCTATCTCGGATGATCTTGATTCCGAGAATCTGCTTTGCAGGGCCGAGGTCCTTCATTGCGAAGGACGGGCTCAACGCCTTTTTCAGGGCGGCTATCCTCGATTTGTCTTTCCCTACAATAAGCATGTCGTCAGCATATAACAACAAAATTAGGAAATCTCCTGCCTCATACCTCTTCACAAATACGCAGTGGTCGGCTTCTGCCTTCTCAAACTTGTGATCTGTCATGAATGATTCAAACTTCTTGTACCACTGCCGAGGTGCTTGCTTCAAGCCATAGAGGCTCTTCTTCAACCGACATACCAAGTCTTCTTGGTCTGGAGCTTGGAATCCTTCAGGTTGCTCCATATATATTTCTTCTTCTAAATCATCGTGAAGAAATGCCGTCTTCATGTCCATTTGTTCTACCTCGAGGTCCATCGAAGCTGCCATGGCTAACACGGTTCGGACCGAGGTCATTTTCACCACAGGAGAAAAAAATCTCCTCAAAATCTACTCCTTTCTTCTGATTGCAGCCTTTCACTACAATCTGGGCTTTGTATCTCGGCTTCTGCCCATTCTCTTCATTCTTAATCTTGTAGACCCATTTATTTTTCAGAGCTCGTCTTCCTTTAGGCAACTCGGTCAGCTCATAAGTTTGATTCTCGTGCAGAGACTTCATCTCGTCCTGCATTGCCTTTTTCTATTCTTCTTTCTCTAATCTCGTTATAGCCTCATCATAACTCTGAGGCTCACCGTCTTCAGCAACAACAGTGTATTCATCAGATGGGTATCTCGTAGAGGTTCTTCTTTCTCGAGTTGGATATCTCGGTTGTTCTTCAGCTTGAGAACCCGGTTCATCATTCTCATCCCGGATCTCATCATCAACTCGGACCTCAATGTCTTGGTCATCTTCAGCTTGTTGCTGGTCATCAATTTCTTCATTTCTTGATTTTCTCCCCCTGCTTCAGCTCGGACAGGAGGGATGGGTTCTTCTCGTTTAACAGTGACTCGGACTTTGGCCTTCGAGATGTCATGAATGTTCTCATCTTCATGAAAGATCACATTTCGGCTTCTCACTATCTTCTTATTGATTGGATCCCAAAGTCGGAACCCGAACTCACATTTCGACGAACCAAGATAAATGCATTATTTTGTCTTCGCATCGAGTTTTTCCCTTTCATCTTTAAGGATATGCATGAAAGCTCGGCATCCAAACACTTTCAATTGATTATAGGCCATTTTTCGACCTGTCCAGACTTCTTCTGGAATTTCTCCTTCAAGTGGCCGTGAAGGTGACAGGTTGATCAAGTCAACAGCTGTTTTGACGGCTTCTCCCCAGAATGATTTCGGCAATCTGGCATTGGACAACATACTTCGGACCTTCTCTTTAATAGTTCTATTCATCCTCTCAGCAAGTCCATTCAATTGTGGATTCTTCCTCAATGGGCTTGGGCTTAGCATTGAAGGAGGAAGCCCAACACTTGTATCATCTCTTACTTCATACACATTTTCAGAATTAAAATAACAAAGGGCGATTGTTTCATGCACTCACTGCTTCATATCCTTCAACTTTCTCTCTCATCACTTCCCGCTCCTTGACTCGACCTCACCGGAATCTCGTCGTCGCCGGAAAAGTGAGACTCGGAGCTCGTGACTCGGTGAGTTGTGACTTCTCTAGATTTGTTTTCTGTGTTTTTGTTTTGGTTTCTGATTTGTGCTTTTAATTGAACTGTTTGTTACTAGTTTTCTGAAGTATTGGTAGTTACTCTTAAAAGAACAAGTACCCTAAAAACATCTTTCACCGGGACGCAGGGTTAAAGTGTGATTAAGTAAATATTTGGGTAAATTTTGTAAAAATGGAAAACGTGTTGTTCTGAAGTGTAGAAAATGGGTGATAATGATCTTCGATTCTTCGAGTTGAACACAGGGGCTAAGATATATTTGTTTATGATTGGGGACTTGGCTTGCCGAACTTGGTGTTGTTTATGATGCCATAGCCAGTGCTGTCAATGTTGGATATCGCCATATAGATTGTACCCAAATCTATGGCAATGAAAAGGAGGTGACAGTTATTTTAAATTAACATTGTTATAATTGATCAATTTTCTCATTAATTGCAAAGTCCATGTTATATTTGTTATGCCATAAGAGTTATTGTATATTACTTTCCATTTTGCAACTACAAGATGAAAATAATTAAAACTATTCAATAGTAGAGTTGTATTTGAGCAAACTGGTTTTCAAATTTTCTTTTGATTTTCTCTTTTGGTTGTTTTTTTTTTCTGTCCTTATCCTCCTTTCTATTTGTCTAAAAAGATATTTGAATAGTAAAATTAATCCCAGTTATTTATAGAAGATTAATCCCAGTTATATATAGAAGATTAATCTCAATCAGTACAGCTACCCTTTTTCCAATAGTACAAACCTGCTATATTAGCAATCAAGTTTATCTATAGTATAGATCCGTCATGTAGTTACTGTTTCCAAGAGAACATGGGTGCAACATGGCACAAATTTAGCATGTCATACATTTCCTTTTTAATTCTTAGCATATTAAGTTCATTCTAATTTCTAGTACAGTCAAAGCTGATCAACTTTATCACTAATACTTAAACTACTACCTAACTAGGCCAAATAACAGTAGATCCAAAAGCTCAATTCAACGTGATCATAACGAAGTTATTATAACAGATTAAATTGAAATATCCATTAACGAAATTATTTAATGAAATACAAAAATATCAAATAATATTGCTCTCGTATAAAAAATTCTAATAGGTTCTTCTTCTTCTACTGAAAGAAGCCTAGAAGAAAGAGTAAAGCGAAGAAAGAAGAAGAAGAAGAACTTGGAAGTGGAAATAAGAGAGGTAAGAAAAATGATTCTTCTGGAAGCGAAGACATTCAGAAACATTAGGACCGTAAAGACAACAACAAAAAGGAAATTATGCCTTGTTCGCCTCCATATCCATAGCTCACTGCCAGCTACAAATCCATGGAAGGAATTGAATTGAAATATATTTAACTTTAATACATTTTTGTTTTAAACAGATTATTGGAAGGAAATGAAATGACAAACCCATGTGTGAACACAAAATGAAATGAAAATGGAAGTGGCAGGGGGAGGGGGATTGTTCGATGGTGGTGGAGAGAGGTGGATCGTCGGTGGGGAAGAAAAAATGATGGTTATGGGGGGTTATGTGGTAGACGGTGATGTTGGGTCTCTGGGTAAATCTAAGGAGGTAAGATTATTTTTGTAAAATCACCTCATATTTTCAGAAATATTTAACAATCATTGAACCAATGTTTTTAGTAAATTTCAGTCTATCAAATAATTTTCCGATCACATTCATAAAAAATTTACTTTCCTAACATCTTTCCGAGAATCAGAATTCTCAATAACAAAAATTTATCCTCTACAAAACGCTCAGAATACACGTTCTTATCGTCAAATTATTTACTTCCTCAAATATTTCGATAAAGCTTTCAGCTACGGATGGTTTTTTCTTTTATTTTTCCTGTTATTGTCTTCTCAAATGTCAATTATATACAGGAAAGGATAACTCCCTATTGCATAGGTGTTCAACATCTAAGAATGATACAATCCTAATTCCTCAACATTTAGTTCAGTTTAAGCATGGGAAAATACCAAGTTTCTGACTACAAAATCGTGTTCCAAAATATCCTCAGAAGCAATGGTTACTGTACTAGTAATATATTTTATCGTCACCGTTAACAATTCAAGACATACAAAAATATTTGCATTAGCTCAATTGCCTCAACAATAATAACTCAACCACGAGGTATGATCTACTAAGCTCCACGTGAACGAACTTTACTTCATAATGTTGATTTCAAAACCTATTTGCAAGTACCTTGTGGACAGGGCTAAGCCGATATATATATACACATATATATATATATATATATATCAACTCTAATTTAGATCTAGATTCTTCTTCATACTTTCATAGACCATATAAGTAATGCTTGCAGCTGGCACAACTTTGAGGAGATTTGGAAGTAGTCCCTTGTAGAAACCTCTAAACCCTTCATGTTGAAAAGTTTTCCAAAATGCATCATTCATCCCCTTGTAAGCACTGGTAGAGTTGGCAGGTTGTGCCTGCAATCTGAGAAGGATGATAAATATAATGTCAGAAAAGAAAATCCACAAAATAACAATTAGAAAACCAGCTTTGAAGAACACAAATGATACCATCCCCACTTGTTGGGCAACTAGAAGAGCCCGTGATAGACGGATATCTACCATCAAAATGGGCTAAGCTATGGACTCTCTATTATAAGTGGGTCCAAACATCACATCTCAACCAAAAACCTTAAAGTATTAGATTTATAGATCCTTTTACATATATGTACTACTATGCTTAGCCTACCTATTCTTTTCCTATTAGGGATCTTTTATCACTCACACTTTAATTCCCAAACACCACTCACATCATTTCTTTTGGGGAAGGAGAGCAGAGAAACAAAAGTAATACTAACAAACATCATACCTTGTACGAATAACTTGCAGTGGATAGACACAAGTAGCTCCAAGAGCTCCAGAAATTGTCCCACATCCTAGTTGTACAAGAGGACCAGGTTCTACCAAGGAGAAAAAACAATAAAAGGTTTCCCTTTCAAGGGCAAAAATTTTAGAAGACTCGATCTATTGCTAAAAAATTGAAGTTGTTAGAACAAATAAAATCAGTTAAGTTCAGGAAGATAATGTGGTAGCAGTATAATAACATACCACTATCATGAAGAATATATCTCTTGGATATATCTTTCAAGGTATCATAAGCAGCGAGATCAATGCCTGCATAAGGAATCATACCAAGCAGAGATGGAACAAGCCCTCTGTAGAAAGCTCGAGGACCCTCTTGAACCCATATATTCTTTGTAAGTGTTCCCAGCTTAGGAACCCTTCCACCTTCAGAGGCACAAGTCTGTAACCTAGTTTTGATAAGATCCAGTGGATAGATAGTAGCCTGTGCAATTGCACCAGCTGTACCACCAGCAACAAGTCTCCCAATAGTACCAATATCTGACTTGTTGCCTTGAGCATCTCCAATTACATTTTTCAGCATTTCAAAAGCATAAAATTTTATGGCACTTTCGGGAGCTACCTTCACAACATTCAATCCATTACCTCGGAAAAACCCTGATAAACCATCTTGCTTCCATATCTTCATTACTGCTGGCATAATAGAAGCATTTGTCGTCTGAACTTGTAAGACCACCTTGAGACGATCGAGAGGAGCAGTTACTGTACGAGAAGTAGCTCCTGCTATTCCCCCAGCTATAAAATATTTGATAGGGTTCACATGCTTGCTGATGCCTTCAGGAATCACGGCTTGCTCTCCTATGTCTACAAGGCACACCCTCTCCCAATGGTGATATATATTTTCAATAGTTGCTTCATGAGGATAAAGTAGAAGAAAATCTCTCCATTCTTCAAAAGTGATAATTCCATTATTATCCTTATCAACATGCTCCACAAAGTGAGCAAGCTCCTCATCATCCATTTCAATCCCTGCAGCATTGAAGCTGCACAGGCTTATGATAAATACTATCAGGGATAAACAAAAACAATAAAATGGAAATAGCTTCCACAAAAGAAATAAAAGGACTACCATCTTCAAAATTCACTAAAACACCGAGGCCAGAGCAGATTATTGCAAACAAAAAGCTATGCAAAGCAAAGAAGTAACAAAAACATTATAGAATCCACCATCAAAGATTGAGCCAGGCTTCCCAAATCTCAGGTATCATGCAGATCCAAAGAATGACACCCCTCTCCCACAAAACAAAACAAAATTATACAAAAAAAAAAAAAAGCAACAGGACATCAACAAAAGAGACAGATATCAAGAAGGGTTCACAAAAATTGTGAAGGAGTTTATAACATCTGAAGTCTCTCAACATTCTTCACGCATAATTGTTATAACTGGCTACAAATGTCCCATTAAAATACAAAGCATATCTCTTTGCAATCATAGAATGCACAACATCAAATGTCAATAAAACAAGCTTACCTTGTAAGTTTCTCAGAGAAAGGTTGATGTAATCAGCCATCCATAACATCAAATGTCAATATGTCTTGGCCCACTCATTAAAGAACAGCGGTAACAAACAGTCAACAGTAAACTTACATCACTTAATAACTAATAACCCTATTTGGATTGTTTCCTAATCTTCAATAACAGGATATGATAGTATTGGATAATGAAAAATACATTTTTTTTTTTAATATAACTAGTGGAAGTTATAACCAATCATGATGGGTCATTACATGATAAAAATAGTGTCTTTCTCTCTCCATCATACCCACATCCTCTAATACCCAAGAACAGCAGAGAGATCAAAATCCAAACAAGAACATTATTAACAAATAGCCAAGTGCAAGGAACAAATTATAAGGCAAATCATAACAAGATAATACCAGCCTTGACAAGTGCATCCCAGAGTTCTTCAGGGAGAATGCTGCCATTGTGTTCAACATCAATGGCTTGAAAGATGCGATAAAGCTCCAATTCCTTATCATCCATGTATCTGCGGAATTCATGGTAATCCACCCTGCCATCACTGTTGGCATCACACACCTTGAAGAGCTCTCTAGCGTACTTGTACTCAGGTGGAATTTGCAGTGCAGACAAACCTGCCTCAATCTGAGCATAGTCCAAGTACCCATTATTAGCAGCATCGAAGAAATTGAACAGGCTTCGAATACGAACATCCCTCTCTTCTTTCGTTTCCCCTAAAGCCACAAGCACGTGATCCATCGAAACAACGCTGGAGTTCTTGTAGCCACACATCCTCTTTTTATGTTAAGCACTTTGTCGCAATAAATTCTGGGAGACCCTTTAAAGCATTTGAATTTGAAGGCCCAAAAGTTCCAATTTTTGTCTTCAGATCTGCACTTCAACTTTCTGATCCTAAAAGGGTCAAAATCTCACTCCTTCTTCTTATTCTTCCTATCTAACCTCACTACCAGATGACAAAGAAATGCTCGAGAGAGTAATCACAAGTTGATTGGAGTGAGAATAGTGGAGCGCGATGAAGGCACAGGACGATCGAGAAACAGATGGAGAAGTGTACCTACCTGGAACTGAAAATTGCATAACTAGTAATAGCGGGTTTCAACCTTATGCTTCAATTTGTGTGTTAACATAAAATGTGTGTTTTGTTGCTACATCTTTGGTAGAGCATGAGGATTGGTGAGGAAGGGAGTAGGCAAAAAGAGGAATTTTAGTGGATATTCCTCTCCAACAATTAGAATTAGGCCTGCATCCTCCAATTTTTTGCTTTTCATTCCTCTTCTTCCCACTCAAGGTATTTTCTTTTCTTTTTTACCATCATCAAGTTCCAACTTCCAACTCATTTGGGAAAAAATTATACATAGTAAGTTTGTTTTTAAAGCATATTAATATAAGTGTGTTTATTTGATGTTTTATAGATTATGTTCATGATATGTTTTAAATTAAATTCAAAATAAAAATGTCTTTGTTATTTTTCTTTGATAATTCTTTTATATTAAATTATACCCACATGAAAGTGTAAAATTAGAAAGAAGAATAAGAAAGAGAAAAAATTGTAATATGTATATGGAGATAAAATTATGGGAAAAACTACTCTCATGCTACATGTGATAAATTTCTCTTCTACACACCTTTCGATAATTGTACCACATTTTAATAACTTATCTATTAATAAAACCCTAAAATTATTACTATTTGCAAGAGAAACGTATTCCTATATCTAATACTATTACTACAAAGAAATATAAAGTGCGTGAAGTTTCTTAAGATTTTAATTTGTAAGCGTATTTCAAGTACTTTATTTTGTATTTATTATGTTTTAATAAAAAGCTTATTAAGATAAATTTTTAAAAAAGTAATTTTTTCTCTACAACATTATAACATTATTAAAATAAAATTGCAATTATAGTTCTTTATTACTTGGGCTCTTTGGCCCACTTGTGAATTACTCCGTAATGCTGGTGGTGTGGGTTGGATAGGGTAGGCCTGTTGTAGACACTTGTGTTGCTTATGGGTCGCGGGAAGTAATATGGATCAATATAGAGGCTTTACTGTCAACTCTTATATATGTCTCGTGAAAATTTTCAAAGTTTGATCAGGGCAACATAAAAATTTCATAAAATTGATAATTCAAACTCCATAACATTCAACACTATTTTACAATTTAACTTGTTAACAAAACTCTAAGGGTAGCTCAGTTGGCAACCGAGCTCTCAAAGGATTGTATGGTTCAGGATTCAAATTTTGTTTTCACATAAGAGGTGTTTTTCTTCTCGAGTGAAGAGTTAGTCTCATCTTTCCTCTGGTGACATAGTCTAATATTGAATGGGGATACCTTCATGTTATAAAAGAAAAAAAAAAGTAACGAAATTAAAGCTTCCACTCTATTTTTTATTTTTTATTTTGTGAAAAGCCATGGCCAAAGGACCATAAACACACACCCCAGTACCCCCACCAATGTATATAGCTTCAACTATAATTTATATTATTATAGTATTTTTCAACAACTCTTACAAAGAAACAAAAACAAATTATTGTTAAAATTTACTGTTATGACAAATAACTAGCGGAAGATTGATAAGAAAGGGCCCTAAGGATGCGGGAACAAAAATTAGTTGTTCCCCTACCCTAAAGTATAGTTCTATGCATTGACCAAAGGCCAACAACATAGGTGCTTGGACCAACAACGTGGCATGCGAGGGCACCGTTTTCTTCCTTTGCATGCGGAGAACGTATGTGATACAAACTACATGTCTTTCAAGTTCAATGTCCCACTATCCCAGACTCCAAGCCATTCTGCTTTCATTTTTGTGCTAAATCCACAAAAGAGATATAGAGATGGGGCACCACAAAGAAAAATCAAAAGACCGAAGAGAAAAGAGATTGCAAGAGATCTCTCTTTTGAGAACCATTCCTTATTCTGATCACCAGAGGTTTGATTTTCTAGTTATCTTCCATGTCCTATAGTCCTATGTTTATATTTATTTCTTTTATTGTACAATTAGCTTTTGATCTAATTTTCCCTTCTCATCATCATCATCATCATGAGATTATGATTGTTAAAATGCTTAGACTGCAACTTTAATATTTATTAGAAGAACAGGGTGGCAAGAATCGTACTCACGACCGCTTTGTAACCAACTCTTATATCATATTAAACAATCAAACTCACCTTAAAAGATGTGATTAAATGAAGATTATTTTAATGGTTTTATATTAAATTTATCTGACAATTATTACATTGAAATTGTACAGCCGAGTAACTTTATTTGTTTATCTATATGTATTAATGGTTTGACGTTTCTCATGTTGTAGGAGATAAAATTATCTCCTATACGTGTATAAGAGTGTATGAGGCTCACATGAACCCTGTATAGTTTTATGCATGTGTGGCAGATAAATTTATCTCCTAAGAGATATTAAAATCATATATCAACTCAAATTTTAACTGTGATATTATTTTGTACATTTGGATGCTTATAGGTGGTGGTCTAAGGAAACTGTTGCTGTGGTTACTGGTGGAAACAGAGGAATTGGGTTTGAGATTTCTAGGCAACTTGCTGATCATGGAGTAACTGTTGTACTGACATCAAGAGACGCTAGTGTTGGTGTTGAATCAATTAAGGTCTTGCAAGAAGGGGGTCTGGACGTGGCTTGTCATGAACTTGATGTATTAGATTCTTCATCCATCGACCAATTTGCTGAATGGTTGAAGGAAAATTATGGGGGTTTAGATATTCTGGTCAGTTTCTTACACTTGTTAACTTCCTTGAAATCTTATTGCAGTTGAATTAGTGGTCTATCGTACAGGTCTATCCATTTTGATTATGTGTAATAAAGAACTCGGGGCTTTGATTTGTTCATATTTCGTGTAGATATACTTAAAAATAGGTTTCATATATAAATGAGTCTATAGTTTGTATTCAATAAGGATCCAGTAATAGGCTGGATTCGGGGATATAATTAAAAAATGTTTTTGAAATTAAAAAAGATCTATTTATAATTTTTAAATTATACAAATTTATTTAAAAATTCTTAAAAAGTTTAGGACATGCTTTTATCATATGGTTGTTCTAAGCAATAATATCATTCATTATCTGCAGGTAAATAATGCTGGGGTGAATTTCAATTGTGGGTCTGATAACTCTGTTGAGAATGCACGTAAGGTTATTGAAACAAATTATTATGGCACCAAGAGGATGATTGAAGCTATGATTCCATTGATGAAGCCATCCAGTGCTGGTGCTCGTATTGTAAATGTGAGCTCACGTTTAGGTCGACTAAGTGGCAAACGAAATGTAAGTAAATACTTTAGTTTGTTTTATTTCATATATCAGTAAACAAAGTTAAACTAATTGAGTTCTATCTAATTCTCTCTATGTTACCTTCTTCAGAGGTAAAATGCAAGTTACTTCCCTGTTATTGGGGATATTATAAACATGCTTTTGCCCATAAATATTTATTAATGCTCAATATGATGAATGAATCGGTTATGGACCTGTTTATTCCAGCACCCACTATATAAGTCACCTCAAATGTATATGCAAGAGTTTCAAGACTTGATACCTAAAATATTCACCCTAGAAGCTCACATCTTTCCTTCTTCCTCACAAAGTTCACCCTCTTAAACACTGATAACTATCTCCTACAAAGACACTGATACTCCACATCAGAATCCTCAAAAGGATAAGTAAAGCAATAGGCAACCCCATCGTTGGTTGTATTCTTGTGCTATGTCAGTATACTTAAGAACAGAATCATTAGCATGAATGACATATATTTGAGAGGATGAAAGCATGTGTTTGAATCTCCCCAGTACTACCTTTGGGAGGGGTTTAAAGCTTTAATCCTGGACCCGTCCCGAATCGGATTAGTTGCGAAGCAATGAACCGATTGGAATATTTTCAAAAAAAAAAAAGAACCTTCTTGTATTCTTATTTGAAAAAAAAAATAATTTAAAATCCATTGAATTCCTGCAGTACCTTCTAGCATTGTCTAATGATGATTCTATTCATTTTTTTTAATGGTGATTTGTAGTAAAATCCACCTACCCCAACTAGCTTGGGATAAAGGTGATATTGATGTTGATTTGTAGTAAAGTATTTTAATAGCTGCTTTGAGATTACATTGGAGCCATTGGTTCCCCCATACTGCTGCTGCTAGATGTAGAACTGATTATAAGTTGTGGTCTTGTGGGAGTAACAGAGAATAGAAAATGAAGCTTTGAGGGAGCAACTAAGTGATGTGGAATCCCTTTCAGAGGAACTGATTGATGGAATTGTATCTACTTTTCTACAACAAGTAGAAGATGGAAGTTGGACATCAGGAGGGTGGCCTCAAACCTTCACTGACTACTCAATGTCAAAACTTGCAGTTAATGCTTATACAAGGTTTATGGCAAGGAAGCTTTCTGAGAGGCCAGAAGATGAAAAGATTTATATTAATTGCTATTGCCCTGGTTGGGTAAAAACAGCTCTAACAGGTTATGCAGGAAGTGTCACAGTTGAGGAAGGGGCTGATACTGGAGTATGGATTGCCCTTCTTCCTGACCAAGCAATTACAGGGAAATTTTTTGCTGAAAGAAGGGAGATTAACTTTTAAACAGCAGGGATTCATGGAATGGAATTGCTTCTAACAAACTGCAAAGGATAGGAAGTTTATAAGTCTGATTCCTTGTGGTCTGTGTTAAGGGCTACCTACACATTTATAGATTGAGATATTGTGATACATGGCCAAATAGTTCATTAATGTGACATATGGAGTGGTATTTGAGGCACATTGGTGATCATCCCTAGGAAGTTTGACCTAGTTTGATGTCATCAAGCATAAGTTCACTAGCAATTTGAAGTTTCTTTTTTTCCCCTTATCATATCATGTTTTAAGAAATTTTTCAGTGGTAAGTTCATTATTGGAGCTTTACTAGAATTACTCAAGCAAAGAAAGTTTTTATCATTGCTTTTTTTGAAAAACATGTTATCTATTTATCTTGCCTTTCCTTGCATCAGGAGTTCTTTTACAATAGCTTTCACTTTCTTTTTAGGGGTTTTGTCATCATGGTTGATCAGGTTGGCCCATCAATTACACTGGCCAACCATGAACTTTAGGGGTGGCTATTAACAAATTAGACTCTAAATTGATCTTGTAATAAACTTTTTCTTCTTTTTTTTTTTAAAAAAAAAAAGGAGGATATTCCCTTTAGGTGGACTTTATAGGAAATGTTTAGTTCAAGTTAAGAAATTGATCTACCAATCACGAGTAACAAACAAAGTGGATATGGTTGAATTAAAAAAAAAAACACTAAAATCAACCATTAATTGACCCATTAAAATGAATGTAAATAAGTTAGTATTTACAAGTTAATCATTTTATACCCTTTTAGTATTTGTAAATAAAGTTACAAATTTTCATAAAAAGAAAAAGAAAATAGTGAATAAACTATGATTGATAATTTTAGATTTGTTATAAAATATAAACCATTATTAAATTATTTGGTTTCTTTACCTTCAGTTGATTAATCTTACGGATTCGCTCATTATTTGTGCTACAAGTGATATTACGAGAGTCCAGAATTAACTATCTCAAAGCAATGGCTTTGCTAATTTTTTAAAAAATTAAAGAAAATTAAAGAGAACTACCTTAACAACTTTAACAAACATTTATAATCATATTTTTACAAGGCAAATTATTTTCATTGTTACCAATCAAACTAATGCATTCATATATAACCTTTTGATTTTAGGTTAAAATTCAATAAACTTCCTCTAATTATGAGTTATAATGTTGTATGGGGGGAAAATCATGTATACTTTGAAACTCACTAAAACATGTATATTATTGTAAATTGATTCCTTTGTACTCGTCAAAAAATCATTATAAAGAATCAATGTGCGCACTTTGGTGAGTTACTGAGTTTAGTATTCATGAGTGAACCATAATTGGATAGGGAGCTTCTTAAATTTTAGCCTTTTGTTTGATGGGTGAATCACTGATTTATATATAGTTTTATTTCTTTACTTAATCCTTAACTTATTTTATGAACTTTTTGTGGGAAATATTGACATTTTAATATAATACATTTTAATAAAGAGCAATATTTTTTTCTAGCAACAGAGAAAAAATACAGCCTCTAGCTGGAGAAGGTATTTAGTGGGCCTGGACTATGGTGGTCATTTCCCAAAATAGAAAAAAGAGGGACGGAGAGGGAAAAAATCAAAAAGAGAATGGTAGAAATGGAAAAAAAAATCTATTTATGGAAAAGGGACCACTGAATAAGTGGTGGGCCTGGAGCATATAAATTTTTTCCCTCTAGCCGACCCATAATCAAGTGGGACCCACCACCTAAAAAAAAATTTGTATGCGCCTATTCTAAAAGATATCAAACTTGCCACAAAGAAGTATGGGAAAAAAGAGACCCACAAGAACATCTTGAAAATTCCAAACCAATATGATAACTCAAGAATTTTCGGGCGCCATCATTTGCACTGTTTCCAACCACTCTCAAGGAGGTTGCTATGCAATGGTATTCATCTCTTCTCGCAAACTCAATTCAGGACTCGTAAGACTTGACTAACAAATTTCTTGTAAGATTTGCAACCAACAAGGTTCAATACAAATCCACTTTTGCTTTCAAAGCCATTAAACAAGGATCCCGTAAATTCGTATGGATTACTTAAACCATTTCTTTGATGAAACATTATTTCTATGACATCTTAACACCCCTTTCCCAAGTCTAATTACATTTGATTATAGATGGTATATAGTGTAGTCCCTTTTTCACATTCCTAGCGAAACAAAAACAAGAAATTGTTGAAGAACTTAGGGTACACTTCGAGAAGTACATCATCCTCGAAGACTATGAAAGATCTTACGTTGATGTTGGAACTAGAATGAATGATGCCGACAAAAGAAAAGACACCAAGCTGCGAAAAAAGTTCGAGGAATACACTTTTTTAAATACTTCAAGATCTCACATCCTCAGGGAAGTATTTAGCAGAGAGTTTGTGAATGTCCAAAAACCTCCTCCAATCCACAAAAAACAAAACCAAGACAAGTCCAAATACTATGAATTCCATGAAGGGCAAGGTCACACTATAATAACCACGTAATTAAATTACGTTAATTGAAATTAATGTGTAATTAAGGGAATTTAAATAATGATTTTGGGGGAAAATGACGAGTTGTCATCAGGTGCCTGCTCGCTGCGAGCAAACCATTAAATTGTTGACTTGTTCGCTACAACGAGCAGTTCAGCAAGCGGACCCGTTAAATTGCCAAAAAGGTTAAATCTCTCTCTCTCCCCCCCCCCATTTACACAAACCCTAAATCGTGAACAGCCCTTCCCTCGCCTTGTTTTGGCTGAAAATTCCTTCTCTCTCTCACTTCCTTAAATGCTCCTTGACTCTTGAAGTTAGGAACCACCATATCCTCCATCATCCCACTCATCTCCTCTGTTTAAACCACCTAAAACTCACCAAGAACAAAACCCTCTCTCTTCCCAAAAACCCCCCATTGTCATGCATCCATAGGATTGAAGAAAGAAAGGGATTTTTCTTCATTTTTGAAGCTTAGGAGTGTTGATTCTTCAAGCCCTTGGGCTACCTAAGGTGAGTTGGTGATTTTCCATGGGTTTCCTTTAAGTGTTGAGCTTTGGGGTTAGGGCTTTCATGATGATTTTGGGTATTCCAAAAATTATGCATAGTTATGGTGTTTGATGATTGAACATATGTTGTTGTGTATAGGATTGTTGCTGGTCGCGGTGATTTTGGAGTGGAACCACCTTTGGACTAAGTTCTTAAAAATTTCAGCAAAGAAGGTAAGCCTTGAGCCTATGTTCTCGATGATTTGTAAGTTTTGGGTTGTGATATTTATGTATATGTTGATATTGATTGGATCACACACTTTGAATAGGTGTTGTTGGTGATTTTGTTATTGTAAAGTGCTTGGACTATTTTAGAGACCAAGAGGAGCAAGAGAATAACACCTTGAAAGGTAAACTCTTGGACCTAGAGAATTTTTTCCCTTTATTATTCCATCATACACCGGGAGGAGTAATGGTTTGTATGAAATGATATGCATTGATTGTTAAAATTGAGTGTTCTGGCTAAAATATGAATATATAAATATGTTATGTATGACTGCATGATTGGAGAGATTCTCTGGCCAGTAGAATAAATATAGACTTCCCTTGGAACCATAGTTGCATGGAGCAAACTCTTTGTGGTTAACACTTGAGAGGAAGAGCCCATTGGGACTTCTTTTGGAAGTGTCATATGAGTTGCATTCCTGTATGTTGGCAAGTTGGTCAACGGAATGACTCATGTATTAAGTATGGATATATACACTGATTAATATGAAAATATGATGCATAATGCTATTTTAATGCCTATATATCATGAAAGTGAGATCATGGGTGCAGAAGTTTCCAAGGACTCTAAGTTTATTGAGATGATATCTTATCCCGTGTAGGGAATCATATTTCAGTTACACTGAGTGATGCAGATGAGGTTTCTTATGGCAAGAGGCCAGAGTAGGGATGTATAGCATGACATTATGATTTTGATTTCCTTTTGACTTAAGAACATATTAAGACTTCATTTTGAAATGTTCATTTGATTTATTGTATATGGTCATGTTTGTAACCTCCAAAGCACGGACACGCCGTTTGAAAAAAAAATTGTGTGTCCGACACGTGTCCGACACGGACACGCTCCGACACACGGTCAACATTTTGGGACACGCGGTCAACTCTCCGACACGTTTTTTCGACACGCGGTCAACTTTTTCGGACACGCAGTCAACGCTCGGACACTTTTTTTTTTAATCTTAATTTTATTTTGTTAACTAAATATAAAAGAAATAATTTATAAATTAATTTTTTTCTGTTATGAAATTTGACATGAAAATTTAACAAAGTACGAAAATTTATTTATATTTATATTTATGTTATGAAATTTAAATATTTGATTGGTTATATGACTTATTATGGACTCTTATATGTATTAAATATAAATTATATTATATATATTAAAAATTTTATTTAATATCAAAACGTGTCCCAACGTGTCGAAATATGACATTTTTTAGAATTAACGTGTCGGCGTGTCGTGTCGTGTCCCGTGTTCGTGTCCGTGCATCATTGTTTGTAACTAGATCAAAAGGGAAGGTCAAATATGAGATATGTATGATTTTGGAAAAATAGATGCATATGATTACCATTTTGTATAGGTAATCAATCATTTGAGTAATTGGAAGACTGCATGTCTATTATATATTTTGAAGAGCTTGTATGCCATTTTGTAATCGCTAACACTATGACATATGGGAAGAGATGGAATTATGTACAATTGTTATAATCTTGAAGAATATGTTGCAAACATTGATTATGTTAATTTGGTGATATGTATGTCATGAGATAAGTTGTAATATGTTGACGGATTTCAGCCTAAGAGATATCCTTGAAGTATTAGTCATTTGAAATGATGTAATGGCTAGATGCCAAGATTATTATTGTGTACGGATATAAAGATATTGCATATGATGCATGTTGAATTAAAATGGTTAAGTATGGGTATAGTTGAGGTTGATTGTGCTTGAATATGGGTTGAATGACCTCTAGGTGATGCCTTGCTCATATGGAGGGGACCAAATTGCAGTTAGGAAGCTGTCATTTTTTGCCTCAAGAGCTTGCTCCCTATAGCGAGCAGTCCAGCGAGTAGAACAGGGGAGAAAGGTTGATAAGTGTCCAAGACACTATGTTTTTATGGTTAAAAAGAGTTCAAATAATTATTAAAATAGTTAAAAATAGTGTTAAAACAATAAAACAGTAAAACAAAATAAATTATCAACAAATAGAAGATTCTGAATATTTGTTGTTGTTTCAGGTTGTTGAAACTAGAATAACAAAGTGCCAATATGATAAGGACGAGGCAACAGTGGAATCTGCGGAGCAATGGGAAAATAAGAAATTAAATAATAAATAAAATAAAAATTGTAACGCTCGCTCCACTGCTCGCTAAAGCGAGCAAGTGGGCGAGCAGCTCGCAAAGCTCCTAGCTCGAGCGAGCAAATGGGTGAGCATCTCGCAAAAGTCCTCGCACGAGCGAGTAAAGGAGCGACCAGTAACAAGTTCTCGCTGAGTTGCTCGCTTCAGCGAGCTCCTCAGCAAGCGGGTCCAAAAATTAGAAACCCAAATTTTACCTTTTAAATACAACGCGAATAAAGCCGTGAAAATGATTCTGGAACGCGGAGAAAGACGAAGTCAGAGACAAAGACGAAGGCAGGAGCGAAGAGGAATGCTGGAGCGTTGTAGAGGAGAAGGAACGAATGCAATTTGCATCATTAATAGTCTCCATTAATCAAGTTTTACGATGAACCTTATTTCTTTTACAGTTTATTATAATTATGTCTTTATAATTATGAGTAGCTAAATTATTTTAGTAGTTAGGAAGATACAGAACCAATGGGTTCTTAGTTGATGTTTGTTTATTCTTATGAACTACATTCTTGTTTCTAAATTATACAATAAATCTGATATTTATGCTTAGTTTTATTTATGACTTGATCACTCGTAGATAAACATATGAGTCATGTATGACAATAGGGATGTTGATATGTGATTCTGATTGGTTGATTGCTGGAATTTACACGATCTAGGGATAGACTTGTGAATTTTATAACTGTGAGTTCTTGCGTTAATGCTTATTTTATGAAAGAGTACTAAGGGATTAGGCTTTGGATTAGAATAAAGAATTAAATTACCAAGGGATTGAGATTTAGTCAATTATAGAAAGAGCTGTTAATAATTTAATCTTGAATGTAATCGTAAGAATAGGCAAACTCGTTAAGAAACCATTGGGGAAGTTGAATCCTATTTACGCCTTTTTATTAAAAATCTAAACTCAATTTCTAGTATTCTAAATTCTGAATTTAATTTCTAAAATATTAAAAACCAAAAATAGTTTTACAAATTCTGCTTTTAATATAATCACAATATCCTCAAGAAAACCTTTAATGATCGATCCAACTTTGATTAAATAAATAAATTATTGCTTGGTCATCAGTCCCCGTGGGATCGACAACTCTACTTTATCACTTTATTACTTGTACGACCGGTGCACTTGCCGAGTTCGTCAACAAAGGTAACGCTCGGGACTTTTACTCGCTGACTTGCTCGCTACAGAGAGCAGTGGTCTGACAGCACTTTCACACAGTGCAACCAAATGCTCATATATTGAGCTAGAGAGCTTCAAATTGAGTGAGGTTTGAAATCATGTAAAGATAGTTCAATGGCCTTTAATCCTGAAAAGGAAATTAACCATACTAAAGTGAATAATTGACTAAGGAATTAGATACGAATGAGAATGAATAGGTTTAATATTGTTAAAGAAAAAGTTTATTCACATTTTTTATGTATTAACTAAATAAGCTAGCTGAGCTCAATGCCATAATTGATGTTAATACACTGGGTGCACACGAGGTGTTACACACACCATCATTGAATGTTACAACCTGCAGGATGTAATTGAAACATTAATCGGCAATGGAAAGCTCAGGAAATTCATATGGGGCTGCAAACCAAAGTCAAACACCAAAAAGCGGGATAGGAGCCCAAATCATAACAGATATCCCCCAAGAATATAATATGATGACAGAAAAAGATTTAACAGGATGATCGAATACCACCAAAGTGATTGTGATATAGGCACTCAACTCCTCCAGATGATAGAAGATACCATCAGGATTAAAAACCATAACAAGAGGGAACTAACAAAAATGATTCAAGTATTCTCAAAATGATTGCTGGTGATTTTATAAGAGGAAGAGAATCCTAGTCTATATATTTAAAGTTCATAATGACCATAACGGAGCACCGAGCTTATATTCCCTCGAAAAGATGTGTCTCACCAATAAGGATTGACGATGATGATCCAGAAGGTGTAATTCCTAAGCATGACGATCTGTTGGTTATTACCGCTTTCATGGCAAATCTCCAAGTTTGAAGGATATTTGTTAATAATGAAAACTCAACTGATATTATATTTTGGGAAGTATTTTAAAAAATGAATATTCCTAGCGAAAAATGAGCCCATATCAAGGTGTCTTAATAGTTAATAGACATTTTAAGAGAACATATTTCTGCAGAAGAATATTAAAGGTACAATACCATACGGAAGACATAAATTAAAATTTAATATGATTGTTAAATTGATAAACTAGTATATCTTACGAGAAAAAAAAATGATAAACTGAGTAATATTTAGAAGAAAGGTTTGATGTTTATCATGTCGTAGGAGATAAAATTATCTCCTATGCACACATAAAAGTGTGTGGGGCCCATGTGAAGAGAAGAGAGAAAAAAAGTGGGTCTCACATATTTTTATAAGTGTAGGAGATAATTTTATCTCCTATAACACGAGAGATATTAAACCCTTTGAAGAATTATTGTTTGGTGTTAATAAATTCTTCACCATTCAATTTGATGCCATTTTGTCAATTTTTTTATGGGATCATGTCACATGACACACAAAAATTTCCTACACACATTTTGTGGGACCTGCACTTTTTAAAGCAAAAAAAAAAAAAATTACACAATCACTTTTCCTACAACATAACTCGTATAAAATCGTCTTTTTATATATATAATCAACAGGGTGAGGTTGGAAAAGTGGTAAAGTTAGCTTTTGCTTATTAAGACGTCATGAGTTACATTTCTAACGAAAAATAAATGTTTTAAGTTATATGTTAAGTTAAAACACCATGCCCTCTTTGGGTTTGGCCAATTTCGGATTGGCTGAAAATTAATGTTGATAAAGCTGTCTTTCAAAATAAGGCAGTTGGTGGTTGTCTTATAAGAAATAAGGAAGGTGCTTGGTTGGGTGGATTTCAATCCTTTCTTGGCTCTTGTTCCACCCTTTATGCTGAAGTATGGGCTATTCTTCGTGGCCTTGAGCTAGTTTGGCAGCTAGGTCTATCCAAAGTTATAGTTGAGAGTGACTCTTCTCAAACTATCAACTTGTTTTTCCCCTGTGGTAAAGATGCTCGACAACTACCCTTGGTAGTTTGGACTCGAGCTCTTCTTGACAAGAACTAAATTTTTGAATTTTCTTTTGCCAACAGAAAAGCTAATAACTGTGCTGATTGGCTTGCAAAAGCTGCCCTTGCTAAGCCTTTAGGAGTCTACTTCATATCTAGCCAATCTGCTGATCTCCAGAAGTTGATGATGTCTGATGCCCAAGCCTCTGCTATTTAGTGAATTCCTGATAAGGCGGATTGCGGGACAGTGACCATTGTGCCACTGTTAGAAGACAAATTTACCTAAATGCCACGCCAAAAAACAATTTTACCAAACTGCCATGAGGGCAAGTTCGCCCATAGCAGTAGCGAACTTGGTATGCTGATGTATCAACTTCCTGGTGGTGTCAGAGTTCGCTTCTGACACAGGCGACCTCGGTTGAAATTAATGCCTCACCTGCCAGGCCATGTGGCTTGCATGCAGCAGAGGTCGCCTGTGTCAGAAGCGAACTCTGACACCACCAGGAAGCTGACACATCAGCATACCAAGTTTGCTACTGCTCTAAGCGAACTTGCCCTCGTGGCAGTTTGGTAAAATTGTTTTTTGGCATGATATTTAGGTAAATTTGTCTTGGAACAGTGACACAATAGTCACTGTTCCGCGGATTGCTTCCCGTCTTTACTTTTCTTTTTTCCACTACTTCTCTTTTGTTGTTATTCTTTCTTTTCTTGTTGTTAGTTTGGGCTATGCCCCTTTCTTGTATATAAAAAAAAAAAAAAAAAAAAAAAAAAAACCATGCCTATTTATTTCCACATAATATTTTTTCCTAATTCCTTCTCATGTATTGACAGTAGTATTTTACCTAAATTAATAATTTTTATATAAAGGCCCTTACAAACCTAAATTAATAATTTTTATATAAAGGCCCTTACAAGTTTAATTATTTATTTACATTTTAATATTATCATATTATAAATTGACAGAAAAAACAAAAGTTTACCTTGGTAAAAAAATTTAAGCAGTAACTAATATATATTTGAGCATCATTAAAATTGTAAAAAAATTAAAAAAAAAAAAATTGTCACCGCTACTTTCAGTCCCAACCATTCCGTTTTCACGCAGTGCTTCCCAATCCTATAGAACGATAGAAACAACAATCAAATCAAATTCAAAATTGAGTTCTGCTTCTAATGGCGACTCTGAGAAAAGCTGTGATCAACATTCACAGATTGATCAATTCTAACAAAGGCACCATCTCTGCTTCCCCAAACCCCCTTCTCACTCTCAGGTACTCTTCATTTTCTTTTTCACTTGTTCTTCCTTCACCTTTTCTTTCTTTCTTTCTTTTTCTTTTTTAATAATGAAGATTTTTGTTTTTTTGCAGGCCTCTGCTTGGTTATTCAAGGATTACGCCATTCACGTCCCACACACAATCCCTTGAAATTGATTTATCTAACGAAGAAAGCAAAAGGCGCTTGTTTAACAGGTTCCCCCATTTTGACTTTTCTCATTTTGGTTTCTATGATCAAACTTACATCTTTTAAAAGTTCTTTTATTTGATTGATTTCTCAACAGGTTATTATATAGAAGCAAACAAAGAGGGTTCCTGGAACTCGATTTGGTTCTAGGCAAATGGGTTGAGGACAATATCCACTCCTTGGATGAAAATCGGATTAAAGCTCTCATTCATGTCCTCGACTTGGTAATTTATTTATGTTCATCTTCACATCATGATGATTATGACCCTTTCAATTGTTTATGGATTGGATTGAACTAGTTTCATTTTGACTTGATAGAGGGGCCATTTAGGATGTAATGACTGCGATGAGGGATTTTAGTTAAATTTGGGTTCACATTAATTTTCAGGAATTCAAATGCTGAAATTGCTTCTTGGGGACTATTTTATGATTTATAGCATATTGAAGAATTTTTGTATACCACAATCTGCCCTGATTGTTGGACGAGCGTATTTTATAAAAGATGTTCACTGTCTTCCCTTTCTACAAATGGAAATTCTCAATAAAAGGGTTACATGATCCTTATTCCTTATAAAAAATTATGAATCAAATTGTTCACTGACAGATTCTATAAAGTTTGCTTAAGATCATATTTTCACTTTGATCAGCTAGAGAAGTTTGTTTCTGTCGGTGATATCTTATCAAACTACATCTAGGAAGGCAGGATAAATTAGCTCAAGTTTTTTTTTTTATCTATTTTTAGACTTGAGAGGATGAACCAAAATCAGTTAACTGGCATGAAAAGAGTTTCAAAGTCCAAAGCAAGAGCTGTTTGGTTTAGAACAACTTGATATTTAGTATGATTGCAATGCTTTCTGAAAATTTAAAACTTAAAGATCTTTGATAATATAAATAGCCTAATCGATAATATCATAAATTTGGGAGTTCATCTGTGTATCAATTTAAAAGGGGAAGGAATCTAGCTACAAGAATTTAGGTGTTTTAGATTTGTTCTGTTATTGCTTGAAATGGATTTCATTCTCATCTGTGTAAAGGGCCAGCAAAATTTTTCAGTACAGCAATACTTGAATTCAGGTTATTTTGCTTGTTAACCATTGACGTGCACCTTCTTTAAGAGAGGATTTCTATGCATAGAATCTTTTGAGTGCAAAGTGTAGTATTTTCCACTCTTTTGTTTTTTATACGAAAAAGGATGAATGGTGATTTGCATCGTTGCTAGTTGTTGAGAGTATCTAACATTTGGTGCGACTGAAACTAGCCAACTTTTACATATCTGTGATCCAAACTAGATCATCCGAGTCTGTAAATTTAGAAGAGTGGGTGAGAAATCATGTCCGACGATGGTTTTCTAAGAAGATTTACCGGGCCAAGTTCTGATTGGAAAAGAAAATGAGATAGCAACTAGATGCTAAGAGTTTGAGACAGTTCGGTTGATTGACTTGAGTCACTTCACAATTCTATTCCTACTCTGCAGGAGAATCCAGATTTATGGAAGTGGATATCGGGGCAGGAGCAACCCCCAGAATCAATTAGCATAAACCCAGTGAGTTTCATTTTATTAATTAAATGATGAAATTCCAATTTGGTTATTTGGTTGATTTTGTTTTTCTTTGGGATACATTCTGATGCCAGCAGTCATCTGTTGCTTAGGTCTTTGCTGCAGTGCGGGAAAGAGTTATGAAAAACCTTGATAGCCATTCTGCTCCTGAAGCAAGAGCAACACCTGGCCAACCATGGGTAAGAGGCTGGGATGATATTAAGAAAGGGCAGGATGGTCCTGTATCTGGAAATCAGTAGCTTGAGATTGAACAATCTACTCATCTGTAACAATGAATGAAATCTGGTCCACCATTTTTGTCATTATAAATAACTAAAATAAGGGCCGGATAAATGCAATTTAAAGGTTTGTATTAGCTACTAGAGACCAGTGAAAGGGGTTTCAACATAAAGATTGTGACATTCTAGGAATCTTTACTCTTCGTCTGTTTTATATCTATTAAGTTTTCTGTTGAGTGATTACTGATAAATATATTGTAACTTTTTTCTTTTAGCCATGGAACATATATTGTAGTTATAATTGCTTGACTCTGAATTTTATTTTTTGTGTGTGTTGGGAGGGGAGGGGGGAGGGTTCCACCAACGCGAAATTCATTTTAGTTCCTGTTTTGGCATCAGTGAAAAGGAAAGGGGAACGGATGGTTTCATTTGTTCGAGACCCGGAATTTTATTAGGAAGCAAAACAAAAAAGATTGTTAGATATTATTGTATCTTAGAATGTTTTAGAAGTATCTGAATTATTTTTTAAGATTGGTTTCCATATTTCCTTATATTTCATGGTTTGTTTTCTTATTTAATTAGGACTAAGAATATAGTATTAGAATAAATGGGAGTTAAGCCATTAGGATTGGTCTAGTGGGGAGGGATTTGGATATGTTATATTAGGTTATCTGTTTAATTCTCACTTGTATTAAAAAAAAAATAAAAGAATAAATGGGGGTTAACACTAAATCTATATTTTGTGTGTGTGTATTTTTTTTTTTCCCTCATCTTTGTTTGCTCCCGATTTGTCTTTGTGAGTTTTGCTCGAGATTTTAGTATCATGAGTTTTGCTCTGTTGAGATTTTGGTATCAAACACTTGTTTTTCGTGCGTACTTGCTGTCGTTTCAGCCTATCTTTGCATAGCGCAGTTCCATTTTAGCTAATTTTTATGCAGATTGCTGTGTTTCAACTTATCTTTTCACGTATTGGCTCTGTTTTTGTTTGTCTTTTCGTAGATTGTCTTTGTTTTAACTTGTCTTTTTGGAGATTCACTTCGTTCCATCCTATCTTGCTGCAAACTAACTTCATTGCAGCCTATCTTTCCATAGATTGATTAGCTTAGTCCTAGATGCAATTTGGCCCCCGCCTCTAGTCTCATTTGTAGTCTGGTCCCATCATCATACCCTGTTTGGGTTAAAGTTTGATGAGCTTTAACTGAATTAGTGTTAGAAAAAAAATTGGGAATGGTTATAGTTACCACCAATTGAGCCTCACCAAGCTTACTCTCTGTTTGATTATCCTGAGATCAGATTTAGATCAATGCTTGTTAATTTTTTGAAAGAGATAGTAAAAATGGTAAACCTAAATTGGTGGTAAGTATCATCATTTAATATTTAGGAAATATCTAACAATGTCAATTATTTATCATAGAATACCTTAAACTACGTTAGATGGTTTGTTGGGATTGGTTTCATTACTTTTTTAATATTTCATATTCCTTTTCTAATGAAGATATGGAATCCAATATTAATCTAAACAAGAGTTAGTGCTTGACTTTTGTAGCACATCCTTTACACTGATTTTATTATGAGAAAAATGTTTATCCTTTTAAATAGCACAACTTATATCTTTTCACTCTTACAAAAAGGTGGGATTTACACCTTTATTTTTTTGTCAACTCTCTCTCCTTCTTTCTCTATCTTTTTCTCTCTCTTAAAATGACACAATTTTACATTTTTTAAAATGATACGCACTTTTCCCTTTTATTATTTGGAGTATCTCTTTCCTTTATCTTCTTTTCTTACCTAAATCCTTATAATTTCAACAGGAAAGAAACAAATGTTCTTAATATTCTTTTCCCCCTTTTCGTTATTGTTATGGGTTTACATTTACAGTGAGTATTACATTCTAGAGCCTTCGCTTCCTAGATTTGTTTGTGGATTTGTTATCAAACTAACTGCTTTTCATTTCACGCCTAAAATATTCCCATATAAATACTCATTCTTATCAGAAATGTATCATTGTCCGTTTTGTTTTTCTATTTTCCTTTATGTTTAACTACTAATCTGCTTCGATTCATTCTATTCATAACAAACCAATGAGTTACCCTTTAAACAAATCAAGAAGGCCAAGATACATACGCCTGGGATGCTAAATAAACCAGAGGTTTTTGACCCGACTCATGAAGGTCTGAGCTTACATGACTAAAATTAATTGTTAGAATCAGGCTTGGACTTGTATAAAAGCTAATTTAATAAAAAAGCCTCAAACTCTAACTCAAAAGCTCGGCCTTAGAGTCTCTCAAGCTGGCGTAGTATACTAACTTTTATTTTTATTTTAATTTTTTATACTATTCATAATAGCCCTCTCTTTCTCCTCAACCTATTTTATCCCAATTTATTGGTTAAACAGATTTTTTGAAAGATTTTGTTCTATATTATGTTGTTTGGATATACATTAAATTTATGAATCTTTGTGGAATTATTACTGTTGTTGATCGTATATTTTGTTTAAATGAAAGTTTGTTGTCTTATTATTTTTTAACAGGCTAAATCAAACTTTTATTTTTTGTAAATAAGACAGGCTACAGCCAATAATTCTATTCATAACAGGTAACATATTAGGTCAGACTGATACTTTTAAACACATGTTTAGCCTTTTAAGACCAAAGCACAGTCTGGCTCGACCCGTTAACACCCCTAGTGATACGCCTATATAATTATAGAGGATTCAGTCACAGGACTAGTAACTTTCATTTAATTGTGAACCTAATTTTACTTTGGTCCGAAATGGAACTTTTGTGCATGACAATTCCTCAACACCATTTCTGATATGAAACAATTTTTTCTGATTTTGTGTTTTAGAAGAGTTTTGAGAATCAGAATTACAGATTTTATCAATGGTATAAAATAACAAATTGCAATAGATTTTAATCAAAATGCCAATATTTCATATTTAAAAAAATTATCTAAACAATTACAATATTTTATTGTGTAATTTGTTTTACAACAAATGCTAAAATATAGTTTTAACCATTATTTTTCGTCATCTTCTCAATTCATTTTTTTATTTCTCATTTCCTTGACCACTTTATTTTTTAATACCATATTATTACCTTAATATTAATTATTCAAATGAATAAATAAATACATATACATAAGTCACATGACTCAAAGGGGGTTTATTGGATTAGGATTTTAAAAGATTTTTTTTGAGATAAAAAATCTTATAAATTTTAAAAGACTATTTAGAATTGAAGGGACTTTAAAGACTTTTTTAAAACACTATTTTTACAATCAAGATTTTATAAGATTGAATTTTAATAGAATTTATAAGATTTAAAAGGACAATATGAATCTATAAGATTTTAAAAAACCATTTGAATAACCCAATGGGTGCAGCTCAGTTGGTAACTTGGCGCTGAGTTAGTGGGATTGGATATGTGTTCGATTCCCGCTGAATGCATTCTTGGGGAGGGGGCTGAACCTTTAGCCATCACTGTTCCCCGCACTCCGGATTAGTCCCATAGCCGGCTCAAAGAGTCGAAGCTCGTGGGGATACCGGAGGGAGCCAACTCGTCTCAAAGAGATAATTAGGGTTGGGTAACTCCAAAAAAAAAAAAACCATTTGAATTTTTAACAAACATTCAAAATTACAAGAGTCAATAAAAAAAATAACAAAGAAATGAAATAATATTAATAAAAAAAATTAAAATCTAATATAAATTTCTCAATCAGTAAAACGTAATACAAATTTTAACAAACATTCAAAATTACTAAGCAACGGCTCTCCACATATCTAAAGCTATACTAGTCATTGATGCAAAATTATATGGAAAGTAGACTTTCAGGAAAATGCAGAAGTTATCTGCTATATTATCATTCTTCAATAATCAAAAAGTCTTCTTTTCACATCCTTCTAACAAGCCTTTTAATCAGGCAATACAAAAAGTAACTGACAATAAAGGACCATCAATGGTCTTAAAACTAATACAAAACGGAAATAGCCATAAACTAAACATAAAGTCATGCAAACTGAAACGTCTGCAATTATTAAAATTATAAAAGGCCTTAAAACTGAAACGTATTCAATTATAATAACTTATGGTGACTCAAGTGCATCATCCTCCCCTGCTACGAAAAGATTTGCCCTTGAATCTGCGTCAATAGTCAACTTCTTCATGTGGTAATCCAGGCGGCAATTCTTCTGGCATTACATCTGCGAATTTTGCCAGTTCTAAAATTTCTGACTTGGACAGCAAAGAATTCTTTGCTTCCTTCCTCCAATCTGAAGGTGCTAGTTTAATAAGGTGGCCATCCTTCTTAAAGGTGTAAGTATTTTTTAAACCATCATGTTTTGTCTTCCTATCAAACTGCCATGGCCTGCCTAATAAAATGTGACAAGCATCCATAGGAATGACATCGCACCATACTTCATCTGAATATATTTTCCCAATTGAAAAACACAATAGGCATCTTTTGGTTACTTTCACCTCATTCCCTTTTTTTAGCCAAGACAGCTTATACGGTTGTGGGTGTTCTTCTGTTTTCAGCCCCAATTTTTCTACCATAGTGGTAGAAACCACGTTTTCACAACTCCCTCCGTCTATAATCACACTGCATACTTTTCCCCCGCTGGTGCACTTGGTGTGGAAAATATTGTGTCGAAGCCATGTTTCATCATTCACTATATCCACATTCAAGACCCTCCGAACGACTAGTGATTCTCCGGTATCAGCATAGACAATCCCCACCTCTTCAGATTCTGCTTCTTCTTGTTCATCGACATTGTCATAGATTGGTTCTTCATCAAAAATTGGAGCCTCTGCAAATGTCACAATCTGTTTATTTGGACAATCTGCAGCAAAATGTCCAATTCCTTGGCACTTGAAACATCTCTTCCCTGCACTACTTCCTTTACTCGACCTTTCCTTGTTGGGAATATTTTTTTGAGGCGTAGAACCCCTTTCCGCAGGTGAAGTTGCTGATGAACTCACTGATTTAGCTCCGAATTCCTTTCTAGGAAATCTTGATTGAAACTTCGAACGGTCACCCTTTCTTTTACATTGTCCTTCCACCTTCAAGGACAGTTTGCACACATCTTCATAAGACCAATACTGTTGTAAGTACACAACATCAGAAATTTCATCCCGCAATCCACCTAGATATCGAGCAATCACTTGTTCATCTTCTTCGACCATGTCACAACGCATTCGAAGACGATCAAATTCAGTGGTGTATTGTTCCACCGTAAGATCACGTTGCCTGAAATTGTGATACTCAATAAAGGCCTCTTGTCTGTATTGAGCAGGCAAAAATTTGTGCTGCAACAATTTCTTCATCTTGTCCCATCTTTGAATTTTAGACTTTCCGTCTCTGATTCTTTGTTTCTTGACATGGTCCCACCAGATTGAGGCATGCTTCCTCAATTTGATTGCTACTAATTTCACCTTTTGCTCATCTGTGAGGTTTTTTAAATCAAAAACCCTCTCAACGGTGTGTAACCAGTCGATGAATACATCAGGGTGAGTTGATCCCTCAAACTCTGGAATCTCAATCTTCATCCCAAAATTGGATGTGAAGGGTTGATCACCGGTTCGACCTCTCCTTGGTCTTTCGCGGTTCCAAAATGGATTTTCGTCCTCCTCTTCCTCTAGAGATGACAGTTCAGATTCCTGTCTCCTTTCTGACCCGTGCAACTGTGCCTCTGCAAGCAGTTGTTGGAGTTCTTGGATCCGTCTGTCCTTTTCCTCAATTTCAGCATCTCTCGCATCAGTATAATAATCGTCATCGGTAGGTTGACCGCGTCCTCTGCCGCCACGACCTCTTCGTCCACGACCACGACCACGACCACGACCTCCGCGATTTTCCTGCTCAGCCATCTTTAAGGCAACCTGAGCTCTGATACCAAATGATGCAAAATTATATGGAAAGTAGGCTTTCAGGAAAATGCAGAAGTTATCTGCTATATTATCATTCTTCAATAATCAAAAAGTCTTCTTTTCACATCCTTCTAACAAGCCTTTTAATCAGGCAATACAAAAAGTAACTGACAATAAAGGACCATCAATGGTCTTAAAACTAATACAAAACGGAAATAGCCATAAACCAAACATAAAGTCATGCAAACTGAAACGTCTGCAATTATTAAAATTATAAAAGGCCTTAAAACTGAAACGTATGCAATTATAATAACTTATGGTGACTCAAGTGCATCAGTCATCCATGCATTAGCTCTCGTTCCTGCTCTTGGGTTTGAAACATGGATTGAAAAAAAAAATTATTTGGTATCAGAACTATGCATATATGATTATAAGACCCAATTATTTTTATTTATTAAAATAATTTTTAATTTGCATATAGAACCTAGAGTTCATGATAAAATTTCGTTTAGAATTTTTTGCAATTGATATTGGAAATATTGGGATTTTTATTCTACATGATGAGAGTTTTCTAACCATTTATCATATGCATGTTTTCATTGAGTATTCTAAGAAAATTTTGAATCTAAATTTTTGGATTTTATTACATGAAAGTTTAGAAAATTTCACAAATTATTTCAATCGATACATTAAAATCTTAAATTGCTTTGGAAATTTTGAAAAACAAGTGTTTAGTTATCTATTGACACAAAGATTATTGAAATCGTTTACTATAGCGAAGGAATTTCGTTCATGAATGTATTGTTACGAAATATAGGGTTTATATTTTGAAAGTTTGAATATTTCTTTAAATTGATCTTGTTTCATTGATGTAAAACGAAAATTGGTTTGAAGATTTTAGTTCCCCTGTTGTTTTCCCATTGTTTTATTTTGTTTTTAATATAAAATCATACCTTTTTGTGCTAAGAAAATTGCGACCCATAGCTTAAAAAATCATTTTTTAAACTTCACAAAGCTCTAAAAAAATATATTGTTTTTGAGATGGATTATATTAGAATCTTGTTGATTTTTTGTTTCTAGGTTGTTTTGTGATGAAAATCGCTCAAAAGTCTGCTATTTTTGAGCTTTGACGAAGCTCCCATGGCGGAATCAGGTTTCGAGCGGGTCAACCCGCTAAAAAAAGAAGAAGACACTGCAATAGGAAATCTCAAGAAATCCTAGGGGTTGGGGTGAGATTGTGAGAGAGGAATCCTATTAATATTTCTCACTAAAAAGTCTCATAAAATTCACATCAATTGAAAATCCATTAAAATTGTCAGATTTTTGAATACCAGAAGATTATTTTTCCTTTGTTTAAAATCCTGATTAAATAGCAACGGATTTGGATGAACTTTAAAATAATCTTATAAAATCCTAATCGAATACCACGTGACTTTTTTTCAATCCTTTAAAATCCTAATTGAATACCAATAGATTTTTTGTCCAAAAATAATCCATTAAAATCCTTTGAAATCTCAATTCAATACACCCCCCTAAATTTCCATGATATCACAATAATTTAAAGCAAAAATAATTGATGTTGCATTGAACAAAAGTATGACAAGTCTCCAATGTATTTCAAATGTCTTTTAATTCGTCAACATCATATCGGGGGCAAGTGATTGTCTCTAGTTAATTGGTTTTCAATATTTTTCTTAATAATGTTTATTTCAATCACTTGATTTGAGGGCCTCTCATCATCTACTGTTGTATATGTATGGGTTGATGCTGCAATGCTGAGATTCGCATAATGTGTTAAATTTTTGTTTGTTATCTGGTGATCCCTAATAAAGTTATGTACTGAACAACATGCAATCACAACGAGAGCTTGTTTCCAAAATGAAAATGGAGGCATTTTACACAAAACTGGGAACCTATTCTTCTAAGCTCCAAATGACCGTTCGATTATATTTCTCAAAGAAGAGTGCCTATGGTTGAACAACTCCTTAGTTGATCTGGGTTGATTTCGTCTTTCTCTATAGTCATTCAAATGGTAGCGCTCTCCTTTAAATGGTGTCAAATAACCATCCCTAGTTGGGTATCCAGAATCAACGACATAAAATTTGCTTACATGTTAACAAGAATTTACGAATATATAAATTGCAATAATAATAAGGACAATCAAATGTGAAACTAAAGAAAAATATCATTCACATTGTTGTACAAACCCGACCAGTCCAACCACGTGAAAATTTAAAAAGTATCCTCATCATAGTCATACGAAAAATTAAAATTAAAATATGGTCTTCAATGCCATTAAACAAGATAAAATTAAAAAGTTGCAACACAATTTCATTCATTTAAAAATTTATAGGAGTGAAGATCTCCTCTCAGGTGGAGCCTTTATAAAGGCTACTCTCCATGCTTGGCTCTCAACTATTCGATCAACTGCTTTGCGGTACGCTTCATTCTCCAATCCCACCATGTCATTCAATACATCCATTGCAACCTCAACTGAGTATGGATCCTCATTCACTTTTGTAGTAGCAGAATTAGCAAAATTATGGTGGCATTGGTTTTGTCTAATCTTAACCAGATCTTGAATAGCTTGACATGCCATTGCAATATCTGTATTCTCACTACCTCTTCTACGCTTTGCATTTGGGCTCATATCTTGTCTATGTGGTAAAGGACTGGGCGTCTCATCAGTATCATATGCAAATAAATCTTCATTAAGCATATGCTCATCTTTTTTATATTCTTGTCTATGTAGTACAGGATTGGACGTCTCAACAGGAATATCAATATTATCACCATCTCCACTTGAAATTTGGTGTTTCTCAGCATTTTCTATGGCATTATTTCCAATTGCATAAACATCCCCAAATATCTCAACTAACTGTTCCCAATAAGGAAAGCCATTCTTCCGAAATTTCTCCCATTGGGGATTGTCCTGTACAAAGATTTACCTAATTTTGTTTAAAAAATCAACAAATTTATAAGAAATCATAGGGGACACTATGTTAAAATTACCTTAATGTGGACATCCCATAAAGATGCATCCTCGGTTGTAGCAGTTTTCAAAACAGTGTTCCAACCAAAACCAGATATGCTTAGTAATTTCTTGAAACTTGAATATTCTTGTCTAAGTTTATTCATCTTGCTTTTCAGTTGATTTTGTGTGTAATCAAGCCCTGTTTGTTGTGTAAATTCATCTTTAATGCTTTTCCATGCTTTCTTACTGAAGGTAGTTGTTGTTTTATTCCTTTTTTTTATTTCCTCAACCATCAAATTAACAAAAAGATTTGTGTTTTTATCAATCCATTTTGTTGTGAAGCCTTCGGATGTCATTCTCCTTATTGATAACATGTCAGAAAATAAACCATAACACATCAAATTAGAAATGCACATACTCAGCCTAGTGAATAATGGTCTAAGAAGCAACGTATAATCCTTTACCCTTTTCCCAAACTGTATAGCTTCTCAACGTCACATACAACACAAAACCAATCAAATTAACACATCATTCAGTAATATTTGATTACCAAAACACCCGTGAGGAACGACTCAGCCACATGTAGCTTTAGAATTCAACTAATAATACATCAAATATACTTCATTTATCATTTAATTAAACATGCAGTCTAGTTCATATGCATTCACCAACTCATCTCAAGCAAATAGAGCACCACTATAGCATCCACAACCCTAAACCCAAATCAAATTAAAAAAAATCAAAACAAATACAAAGATTAAATCGACCCCTGTCAAAAAACCCAAAACAAGAAATCAAAATTCATCAAATAAAAATTGAATTAGAGAGTGGATTTACCTGGAATCACGGTAGAAAAATGAAGCAAAGCAAGAAACAGCAGTGGAGAAGAACGAAATAGAAAAGCTGGGACAATATGGGAGAAGAGAAGGAAGGAAAAGAATATTAGAAGACAAAATGCAAATGAGAAAGAAGGGGAAGAGAGAAAAACTTACAGAAGGCCAAAGTGTCGAAGAGGATGGAGAATAGTCATAGTTTTTTTTAGAGAAAGGGTTGAGAGTGACAAATGAAAAAAAAAATGATTCTCTTTTTGTGTCCTCGGAATGAAGAATTTTTTTTTTTTATTCCTCAATACAAAAGTTAAAAAAAATTTTAACACATACAACAGCTCGTTTGATCCACCTGTAAAAGAAAGAAAGAAATAAAATAAAGGCAGCACAGCACACCTTTATCGAGTGAGGTTAAGTTTTTTCACCTGTAACTACTGAAGAAAAACTTAACCCTTTATCTTATGGTTTGATTTTGAGTAGGGCTGCACGCACGATCCGGTAAAAATCGACCTATTTCATCTGGGCTGGTTCGGGTCACTGGATTAGTTCAGGTAGAACTTGATTAACCCAATCTTTGGTTGTTTCCATTGGCCGGTTCAGAGAACTAAATGATACAATAACCTTTTTTTTTTTTTTTGGTTACAAAATGATACAATAACCTAACCCAATGTCATGTCGTATTGTCTCTTATTTTCTCTCGAAACCAGTCAAAATCAGATAATTGATACAATTAAAAAAAAGAATTTAATTATAATACAAATTTAAAATTATTTTAAAATAAATGCAATCATTTATACACAGAAGAAATGTATAATTAATTGCGCATAGGGACACTGCCATGAGGTCATGTGGCGCTATGTGCATTTAGTTGCACACATCCTTGTCTACAATAGTCGTTTGTTTTAAATTTAATTATCACACGTACCTTTATCCCATTACTCAAGATTGATATTAATTAGTATCATAAATATTTATTTGGTCAAATAATAATTAACATAATAAATATATTTTAATCATGATTTTTGAAATTTGAAAAATATTAAATTTTATTATCATTAATCATGATTTAGAAAAACATTTATGAAATAATTTAAATATTTTATAATGAATTCATTTTTTCTAAAGTTACTTTAAATACTTTTGTCTAATGTTAACCGAAACAACATCGTTTTATGACGAAAATTATAATATGTTTATAATTTTAATTTATTTTTGAGTTATAATAGTTTTTATCATTCTAATTTTTTAATTTTTCAATTCAAAATAATATCATTTCAATAAACATCAAATAAAATTGTGTAAATTAACATTAGATTTTTTTTCCCTCAGTAGCAATTCAAAATGTTTTCCTAATCATCATATTCCTGATTGAATCTCGTGACAGTTGCACACCCACTGATGTAAATTAGTTATGCTCCCCTCCTATATACAATTAATTACATTATTTTTAAAAATAATTCCACATCTATATTTATTAAATAACTTTTTTTAAAATTTAAATTAATTAAGTTGATTTGCCCTCTAAATCATTCGGCTAGGCTCCATAAGCTAACCACCTTTTTTTTTTTAAACAAAGCTAACCACCTTCTTTATCATTGTGTCTTTTAGCCATGTTAATGAAATCAGATCAGTCCAATCGGGTCAATTCAAAAACTGGTACACTGGTCAAAAGTAATTTAAATAAATATAGATTAGTTATGCTCCCCTCCTATATACAATTAATTCATTATAATTTTCGTCTTAAAACGACGTTGTTTCGATTAACATTAGACAAAAGTATTTAAAGTGATTTTAGAAAAAATGAATTCATTATAAAATATTTAAATTATTTCATAAATTTTTTTCTAAATCACGATTAATGATAATAAAATTTAATATTTTTCAAATTTCAAAAATCATGATTAAAATATATTTATTATGTTAATTATTATTTGACCAAATAAATATTTATGATACTAATTAATATCAATCTTGAGTAATGGGATAAAGGTACGTGTGATAACAGGTGCAATTCTTGCCAGTTTTCGTGAAAACAGGTGACCCAGTCGGCTAACCGGTGACCCAGCATGGTCCTAAAAAAAATTCAAAAATAATAATTTATAATAGACATATTTGAGTATTTTTTGCTTATCGACTTACATAGGTTATATACCTACAACATTGATATTATCTCAATTATACACTATGTAAAAAAATTTGATTTGATTTATAATTAAATATGTCGTTTACTGAACCTGAAGCCCAGCTTCGTATTATAATCATTATATTTTCGTTTGATCCTTTTTTAATATAAATTATGGAATTGCATATAATTAATGGGTCATATGATTCAACTAATGACCCAATACCTCGACCGGATCAATGATCGAGCCAGTTTTAATAACATTACTTTTAGCAACATTTTCTTATATTTACGTATATAATTTAAAAAAAATTAATTAATATTTGCTACTTTAATAATAATAATAATAATAATAATAATAATAATGGACTTACTTTTCTCTTGTTATACGATAAAAGTTTTGTTTGCAGTCATATACTTTTATGGGACCCATTATTTCTATAAAAAAAAAGGCAGATAAAATATTAATGGATGTGCATGAAATTGTTTTCCTCTCATGTAACGAGAGTTACATTTTCATAACAATAAATAATAATAAGAAAAATATGTCTCTCTTATATTATATGAAATAATTTTTTCTCGTACACGTAAAATTCACTTTTTTATTTTTTTCTCTCTTTTTCTTAGTTAATTTCATCACTTTTTATGTGTATTGATCATACTCCCTAATAATAATAGTAATTAAGAATTACTATTTTAAAAAAATATATTATATTTTGAATTAGAAATTGAGCCTAATATCTTATTCTTATCTTGTTTAACTCACACCGCATGATATCTATCATGATGTTATCTTCATGGTTGAAACCAGCAATGGCCTCTGCAGCAGAACCCATTTCAATATTGGTGTTTCTCCTCCTTCTACTCTCCCCTTCAAATTCAACGGCGTCGGAGCCGATTCCAGCTGTTTGGCCGGAACAGTTCCACGCGGTGATGTTCATGAACAGAAGCGGAACTCTCCAGAAACTGGACTTATGGTACGACTGGCCCAATGGACGCAACTTCAACATAATTCAGGAACAGTTGAGCAACCTCATCAAATACGACCTTGAATGGAACAACGGCACGTCGTTCATCTACACGCTGGACCCCTCAAACCAGGAATGTGAAGTCGTTAACGTCTCTGTGGGTATTCTTCGCCCTAATTGGCTCGACGGTGCAACCTATTTGGGTCAGCAGCGTGTTGACAATTTCCTCTGCAACGTGTGGGAGAAAGTTGACTTCATTTGGTACTACGAGGATGTCCTCACTCGAAGACCTGTTAAGTGGGTCTTCTACACAGGTACTCCTGCTATTCTCTAAGTTGAACTAATTCACTTTGTCATATTAATAATTTTATAGCATATAGATGTAACCAAGTTCCTACAAATGTGTTTATTGGGATGCATAATGCGTTGAGAAATTTTATAATATTTAATTATAAGGAAGAATATTGTAACAACTAAGTTGTGTTACTGCCAAGTTACTACCAATCAATTTCATTTCACCGTTAGATTAATTATGTTGATCCAACGGTTATATTTATTTCCATCTTTATATGATCATGATTTCCCAAATTTAATACTTTATATTTATTTCTATCTTTGTATGGTTATGATTTCTTCTATTTAATGATTTTACTTTAGATATGGGAAATCATAACCATGTAAAGATGAAAATAAATATAACCGTTGGATCAACATAGTCGATTTAACGATGAGAATGATTGGTAGTGATATAGTAGTAACACAACTTAGTTATTACAATATTCTTCCTCTTTAATTATTTATTAATAAAATAAAATGGTGAGGATTAAATTCATGACCAAATTGATGAATCATATGATTATGGATGCTTTGATATGATATTAAGTTATTAGGTGTAGAATATATTAATGATTTTATATTATATTTTTGTAAGAGGTGTTTAAATGAATTTTAAAATTTGGGTGCTTCAATGTCCATATAATATTGTTATTTGATTTGGTGAGTGCAGGATATACTGCTCATGTGATGACATTTGAGGTTGGGGCAGTGCTTGAGGATCCGAATTGGCAAGCTCCTCTTTACTGTTTTAGTAAGTTTGATAAGGAAATGAGTAGCTCTAGCTACCCATTAAAACCTGCTCTTCATGGTGGTTCTTTTGGGGGGTTGATCAGAGAGATAGCAGATAGTGCAGATGTGTTGAAATTTTGAAATGGCATCTGTTGCTGTATATTGTATATACTATAAGTCTAATCCATCTCTGTTTAGGGGATATGTAATAATTGTTAAGTTTAGCTATAAATAATTACATGCATTTGCCATCAAAATCTTGTTGGAAGCTGCATATTTAATAATTGGGAGCTAACAGTTGTTTTCATCCAGGCAGTTAGTGAACTATAATTGTAGACCTTGAGTGGAACGGACCGAGGTTTTTGTGTGTGAGATATGTTACTTGTGGTAGACCAAGAATCCAGAAATTTTATAAATCTGCAGCGTGGAAGTAATGGAATGTTTTGTTATTTTTTTACAGAAACACTCGCCTAAGAGAAGCTTAATTGGTTGGTCCATACTGTAAGTGGTGGTAACTATGCTTGTGCGTATATGAGAAGATGTTGCTTTAGTAGCAGAATGACTACCGGTTAACTCATTTAGAGAAGGCTAACAATAACTGGTTGTTTACCTTATTTACTCGTGGATTTTGTGCTCAGGTCTTTCTGGGAAAGCGTTATGAAAAACCTTGATAGGCATTCTGCTCGTGAAGCAAGAGAAATACCTGGCTGGCAAACCATGGGTAAGAGGCTGGGATATATCTGGTAGAATATTAAAATGTATATTGTCATGAACAGAAAATGTATCTGAGATCTTCATGAACTTGCTGATATGTTTGTGGGGATCCTCGTGTGGCAGTCCATGATATTGTGTCATCGATTGGAGGAGCTGCACTATGCCTGGTTTTAGATCAAAGTTAACTTCCACACCAAGTTGGACTATCCCCGGAATAACTCCATCAAGGGATGGAATGTGCATATTCCATAATGGGGAGTTCTTCATCCGCTATTGCCAGTGCATTGGTGCTATTTCCATCCCCATTTTCATTGTGACCATGGATGGAACTATTATCATCTGCCATCTTGTAACAGCAACAATCGACTACTTTTATTTTCTTCAAAAGTGGCAGAACTTTGCAATTCCCACTGTTGGTTTTATCATAATAGAATTCTGCAATATTTTTTCAAAGGTAAAAGAAACGGAGTTTAGAAGAAACTAGAAAGAAACTAAAAGAACACAATTCTAGAATTGCAAGACAGAACTTAAAAATAAAACTAAATCAAGCATCGCTTCCCGACAACAGCACCATTTTGTTGGTGTAGGAATTCGAAGATCAGAATCGTTCTCATGGAATAGTTGATTTTAATTCCTTATCTGTTCTATTCGTTAATTCTTGGATTGTAAGTGACCAATCCTTTAAACTGAAGAACTGAATGAAATTGGTTTTGTAATTAAAATTAGATTAACAAATGGGACTAAAATGGTTAAGTAACAAATATCAACAATGAAAAGGATATGGAATTCTTGAATTATGGATTCCCTAAAGAACTTTGCTTCCCTGCACTTTCGCACTGCTATAACACTTTCATCATAGAATTTGAACTATTAAAGTTATTTAGTTGGAATTTTTCAATTCCAGTTTTAATTTCCAAAATAATTCTTTCCCAAGCCTTTTGATTCTTTATAAAAAAAAATGTCAAATTCCTCCTCTGGTTATCCCTAACCTAAAGGGTTCAATTAGCAAAACAAAGCACAACTTGATTTCACAATCACCGTTTATGCCAAGAAACCCCCCAAGACTCATTCCCATGATTATCTTGGATTAAAATTGAAAGCGTTGCTAACCAAATGTGAAGGATGTGAGAATAGCAGTAGTTTAACAAAATGGGATTATCTAATCATCTTGAATCCCATAAAAAGAAAATTAGCAAGTCATTTCAAAGAAAGAAATTAAAGATTCTGGAATTAAAGTAACATGCATTACCAATATGAGAAAAGGAAAATTAAAGTGTAGTGCAATACAGACCGGTACTTCAAGAAATTAAAAGTTCCTATTGCTAGAGCTATTCAGACTTGCAGAACTAGAGAATTGCAGAGCTTGCATGCGTTGGTTCCTTGAATTCTTATAAGGAAGCGTTGTGAAAGCCTTTTCTTCAAGATCCAGAAGACTAACACACACAGCTTAAAAAAAAAGAAGTTTTAAGAACGCTCAAAGGAAATCTACTTCTCATAAAAGCTGACTAAAACCAAAAAACTCATAAAAATCACTTTACAATTTTTTTATAATTCCTATTTAACTAAAAAGTACTAAACAGATCCAACATGTAAGTGAAGACAGTGAGTGATATTAAATCACTAAGAGGCTTGAACCCATGTATAAACCAGAAGAGATAGATGATCAGAATTATCACTGTGCAATTATAAAGAATTAAAGAACATATTTACTTGTCAGATAATTGAGACAGAATGATGAAACAAACAGATGACGATATCAGAGGAATAAAATATGCAGAATCAGAGGAATAAATCCGAGCCCACAGAACGTGTCTCCTTAAGACAATTTGCCCCCTCACTGATGCTTAAGGTAGATGGACACTTGTCTCCCAGGATAGAACGGATTTCGTCTGAAGAGTGGTGGCACTACCAGTCAGCCCAAACGAAGACAACAGTGGCAGAGGAAACAACACCGGAGTATGAACAAGAATATGCAAACCGGAAGGAGAAAAATTCTGGCAGAGCTTCAGTGCAGAAAAAACCGATTAAATTTCTGAAGGTGTCAGTGTCTATTTATAGACACTGACCGGTCACGATGAACCGCCGCCGGCGGTGAACCGCCGTGAATGACGGCGGCGAACCGCCGTGAATGACGGCGGCGAACGGGTGCGACCGGTGACCATTCTGACGAACAGGTACAATCGGTGACCAGTTCAGCGAGCAAACACAACCGGTGACCGGTTCGCTAAAGGGAAGAACCGGTTCGGTTCAAAATTGCTCAAAAAACCGGCGGGTAGAAACGTTTGGGTTTGAATTTTGGAGGGACGCAACGGATACATTTTTTTGGACAAAAAATTATTTTTATTACACACCTATGAACCGAACCGAATCGAACTAAACCGATCTGAGCTGAGCAAGAAGGACAGCGGCGGCGCGCGTGTGTGTGGTGGACCAAAGCCCACCTAGCTCCTCCCCCTCCACAAAATGTGTAGTGACCCAAGGGCCAATCTAGGAGAGTGAAGTGGGAGCTTATAAACTCTTTCACTTCCAACTAGTTGTCCAATGTGGGACTTGTTAAAACCCACACATCCCTTCAACTTCCCTTTTCTCTTTTATTTATTAACTCACTTCTTATTCATAACCAATAGATCATTGTTCATTAATTCCAACAATCCCCCACATGGATAAGAAGTCAAATCAACGTGACAAAAATGCATAAGAATATAAATGCAAAGTGTAATTTCCTCAACGAGAAACAACTGCATCGAGATAGGTGGAGTTACCTTTGAACCTTCTCTAGTGAAAACCTATCGGATATACTCGGTCAATCGATGGTCTAGCCGACTTGAATCGTCGACTTTTAGTGTATACCTAGACAATAGGAGTCACACAATTGCTTCTCTAACATTGTTGGTCCTTTGTTGTGCCCATTTTGGCCGTGAGACACCTGCCTGGTTCTGCGAGTGTTTTAGAGAATCAGCCTTTGAAAAGTTCTCATAGAAGCAGCCCTCACTTCACACTCACATAGGTGATTTCTTATAATGTAACTCACTATACATCATCTGAACACAAAAATTAAGAAATCATTAAAAGCTTAAATGCTTACCCTCACAATACACTGTCTTGTCATAGGAACGTGTATGAGTTTTAAAACTCCACAGTGTTTGGACAATCGAACATCACTTAGTTGTTTCTTTGAACCTATTTCATGGGATCTCCACTCTTCTAGGTAGAGTTACCGCAATACTCAACAATTGATAAGCCTTAAACCCATTCCTTTCGACAAATTGTCAACCAACTCTCTAGGAATCCCTTTAGTTAACGGATCCGCTATGTTCTCCTTAGACTTAATATAGTCAATTGTAATGATTCCATTCGAGAGTAGTTGTCTTACGGTATCATGTCTACGACGTATATGTCTAGACTTACCGTTATACATGACGTTCTTGGCCCTTCCAATAGCTGCTTGGCTATCACAATGTATGCATACGGCCGGTACCAGTTTTGGACAATTAGGAACATCCTCAATAAAATTATGAAGCCATTCGGCTTCTTCACCGGCCTTATCTAAAGCAATAAATTCTGCTTCCATGGTTGACCTTGCAATACAAGTCTGTTTGGACGATTTCCAAGACACAACATCTCCACCAAGGGTGAACACATATCCACTTGTGGACCTAGTGTCGTTAGAGCCGGTGATCCAATTTGCATCACAATACCCTTCTATAACTGCGGGGTATTTCTCGTAATGCAAAGCAAAATGTTGAGTATACTTCAAGTATCCCAAAACTCTTACCATAGCTTTCCAATGATTTTCATTTGGATTACTAGTAAAGCGACTTAATAGACTTACTGCATAAGCAATATCAGGTCTGGTGCAGATACATAAGGCTTCCCAACACTTGAGCATATAGCTTTTGTGTTGTAGCTTTACCAGTGTTCTTTAATAAACTAAGATTAGAATCTACAGGATTCCTCACAGGGGTTATATTCAAACTTTTGAATCTCTCAAGAACCTTAGCTATATAGTGAGCCTGTGATAAAGCCAACCCTCTAGATGTTCTATGTGTAACATCCCACGTAATTAGGGAAAATACATAAAATACTATTGGGCATAAGAATGCATGTGTGACAATTCGAATGACATGTAATATTTGTTAGTCTTCGATTTATATGGTTACTAGTATGGAATTAATATTGAGTTAGGAAATTATTTGAATTATAATGGTAGGAGAGAAGTTATTTTAGGTATGTGGGACTTTAGTGAAAATATGTGGGAATAATTTAGTAGTAACATATAGAAAGAATTAAAATTATTTAAAAGACTTGGGAATTTATAATTTGTGAGTTAATACCTAGGTTACCAACATTTAAGGGCTTGTACATTTTGGTTCCCAAATTGTTGTTTGGCCGAAGCCTTAGGGCTTTAAGAGGTGCATTTGGTTCAGCCCAATTGATCATTTTATCCTTATCTCATCTTAAAAAATTCCAACAAGGCAGCCTTTAATTGGTTAGTGATCTCCACATGGCAAGGACCTCATCCATTCTCACTTTCCCTCCACTTGTGCGCATAGAATAGACAAATAGGAAAAGAGAATTCTGAATAAGCTATCTCAAAAGAAACCAAGTCAGCCCATCCACCTATCCCTTCTCTCATGTGCTTGGGTTGTGCCAAAAGGTAGCTGATTGCTTGTTAAATCACCCAAATAATACAGCTTTATTACATGCAGCCAATGGTAAATAGGGAGGTCAGCTTGCATGTGATAGTATTGGGTAGAATTCTTTCATTCCTTCTTCCCTCTTGGTGCGCTTAAATGACGATAAAGTCTTGTTGTTTTCTGATCATTGTAGCAATTTGAATCAGCCTCCAAACTCCCCTTCACTCACCCATAGCGCTGATAGTAGAGAAGTAGGGTGAAGCATTTGATTTGTGAAACAAAAAATAAAGCCCAGCCATGCCATCTCCCTCCCCTACCTAAAACCGTGACACAAGTGAGGAGTGAGCATCCAGAAACAATCTTGCATTTTCCTATCCCTCTTGCTTCAAATCGTGGACCTCTAGAGAATCATTATCATCAAGCTTTCATTCCCTTTCTCTCTGCTCAGCCAGAGCTCTTCACACAATGAGGTAGAGTCTAGTTCTTCTTCCTTGTATTCTCCTACAACGTTGGGTTTTTGATGATGCCCTCTTGAATGTAGGTTCTAAACCAAGCACTTCCTTCACCTCCTTTTGTGCGCCCAAGTCACCAACAACAAGGGTTGAACTTGCTGTTTTTCGTGGAAATTAGGAAGCTAAGGTGTTACTCACTGTCCAACTTGGGTTTCTTGTGTGTTGCAAGAGGTAAGACCAATTTGAACCTATTTCCCTCTGTACTAGTCGTGAAACATGTTAGGAAGAAGCCCTTCTATTGATTTTATCTCTTTTAGATTCTGCCTTAATAAA